AAACAACAACAACAACAACATGTGATAAATAAATCAGGTGAAAAGGCAAAGCGGCAGTGTCTACGACATCCAGTCCGTGTTGATCAATTCTACTCTCCAACCCTGTTGCCTGAGCCCATCAGTCCTTTTGCACCACATGCCCATGATGCTGTGTGGACATTTGCGCTGGCGCTGAAAAATATCCTTTTACAGGTGACGGGTGAATCACATAAAGTTGATCAGGCCACAAATCACGACCCTCACTGCCGACAACAGCAACAGGGAAATAGGCAAAGGCGACTAAAACGAGGAATGAGCATGGCTGAATTTCGGAAGCCGGTCTCAAAATTGCAGCGCAATCCGCAATCAACAGTGGTACCAACTTCGTCGAACCTTGACTTGATCGGAGATTTAGAAAAGGGAGGCGAGAGCTCTAATTTGATTCACAAACTTTTGACAAATCGAACGGAGCTGAGACCACGGCTTCTAGAAGCCATCAATGATATTCATATTCTAGGAGCATCAGTAAGCTGATCGAATCATAGTTAATGCTGATTTGATAGTATCGCACAAGTTTTTATATTCTCTAGCCTTTAACATTTATATAGTGACTACTTATATATATATATATATATTATATAAATTATAATTATATATTATATTATAAATATATATATATATATTATATAATATATAATAATAATATATATAAAGACCCCAGGGTATCGAATATACTAAAATAATTATAATTAACTGCAAAATATGAAGACCAAGATGATGTCATATTGGTAGAAAAATGCACCTAGTCCTGGGTCCTTAGTGTGCATGAAAATTCCCAGAGCCTGACTGTGGACGTGGTACATTACCAGACGTTTCGCCGACATCGTCAGTGAGTCTTGCCATTCTTGGCACCATACAACAACTGGTCAAAGGGACAAGTGAAGCCGATCCTTTGACCAAATGTGTACTAAACAGTTGTGTTATATCTCCTTTCCTATATCCTCGTATCACGTCTTCACCGTCACATTTTTTCCCTTGCTCCGTCAAATGTGCATTAACATCTCTAGCATTTTTTACTTTTCGTTTGCACAAGTGTCCCACAATTAAATTGTCCCCCTGTACATGCTTTTTAAATTCTGTTTGGATGGATATTTTGGGGCTCATTCGTCGGTTTTTTGTTTTTGTTAGCCTAGACGATATTTGGATTACCAAGATCAATTGCTTAAGTGATATTCGGCCTTTCCCATAATTAGTTAAACGGCTAACTTCTATTTGCCATAAGTTTATAGTCTTTAAATAAACTGGTAGCAAACTACTCGTCTTCATCATTCCTTAATTCGACAATAGCCGATTTTACAAGAATCTTACATTTACTATGCTAAATTGTATAGAATTTATGAATACATGACCTAATTATGAAAATATGCTATTACATAAAAATCGCTTTAGGTAATAAAAATTAAATTTTTCCATTTAGCTATCACAGTTGTATTACAATTTTACCCTGTTATCCAAAGAACCTTAGTAAAGTTATAGCTTTCACATTACTTTGTATACATCACAAAATGCGGAGTTGGTATTCTCAGTATGTAAACTATTTAAGTAGCAATCTAAAATAAGATGATGTGGCTGTAAAAGGCAAATTTTTTGACAAAATTAAGACTTCCTTAGGAATTTTCTACCATCAGAAGACATAGCAGTCCCTGTAATGTAAAATAAAGATGGTGAATCTTAAGACTTTTAAGGGAAATTTTGTGGAGATGAAGCTACAAAAATTTATTTAACTACATTACGAGTGGAGGGCAAGGAGTTAATTGCAGATTTATTGTGATAATGAGCTCGATTTTTCCACATTTTAAAATACTCCTACTAACAAATAAGGAATTATTTACTCACTAACTAAATGACGCTTTTACTATAGAAGACTATTAAGTTTGAATAGTTAATTTATCAGTATAATATAATGCAGTAAATTCTAATTGTACGATAAATGTTTCCATTTAAGCAGAAATCTCTAGGCATTGCTGCTACATGAACTTTAGAACTTTTTACATCCCAAAAACACTTTACTCTGGCATTTCACTGCTTGACAGCTGATCTGATTACATGCAAAATCAAAGATAATCTCCAATTTCCTAATCAAATTCGTCCTTAGTTGGCATCCAAAGGAGGCCTTTACATGATGGGCAGGCTGTATATTTTTGGTATTGGTTCGACCTTGTTTTCGTATCTTGGTCAGGGCATCAGGGAGGCCTTGTGGAACGTACCTAGTCCTTGTCGTCTGGCATGGTATCCGTGATTTCCAGCATTGGAGCATTCCCAAACGTTTCGCCGGCACCATCGTGAGCACAGAATGACAACTTATCAAAGTGACAAGTGACTTGACTATTTTTCTGTTCAACCGTTATGGCATCCCTCTTCGCCCCTACTTTTGTTACATCTTCTAGTACCACATCTCCTTGTCTTAAACCCACTTATATAGCCCATCTACTTATTCACACAATTCTGTGCTCTCCTTGTCTCCAATACCGCCTAAGAGTATGTCGCTAGAAGTGGGTTTACGGAAGCGTAATCATCTCCACCACCGGTACCAGATGTATTTGTTCACAGTTCTTGCAGTTTATGCTGTAAACTCCGGACCATTCTATTTAGATGAGTTCTTCATATTGGTTAGACAAGCTGGTAAAAAGGGTTGTCCCTTTATTCAAGATTGAGCAAATCTTATATCTCCATCGTTTCGGCCGTAGCTTCCGACCCAACTCACAACGGTTAGAGATATATATCGTTTTTACACCGTTCCTCCGGCTTTCCTTTCATTATCTCCGTTCTTCAGTCTATTCATCACCATCCGTATGTTGCGTTGTATTGCTTTTTCTGGATGTCCGTTTCCGAGAGACATTTGAATTAGTTTTTTCAGTTCCTTTTCCCAGAACGTAGAATCATTGAGTCGTAAGCTTCTTATTACTATACTTTAGACTATTCCCATCTTCATCGCATACGTTTGGTTCGACTGGAAGTTAAGGGTCCTTCCATCATGCGATTTCTTTCGGAAAAGTCTTTTCTTGAGAGTTTCCACACACAAGTATTAGTATTATATACACAATTCTAAATATTCGATTATACGTTTATTTCCTTATAAATTAATTTTTACTATATTATAAATCACAGATATGATGTTTTTTTAACTTATTTATATAAAATTTAATAAACTTAACTTTTAACTATTATCTATCCAATTTATTATAAAAATATAAAAATATAAATTATTGGTTAATTTATTACCTAAACATACATACAAATGAAGTTATACACAAACCGAGGAATCTGGACTTCTAAAAATATATCTTTTACATGCGACCAAATGACGAACTAATCATCCAAATATCGCATAATTACTGTTGGCTGCTGAGGTGACATTTCAAAATTCTCCCCCACCTTATCCATGAAGATATTAGCCAACAGAGGTGAGAGCGGTGAGCTCATAGGCAGACCAAATGATTGCTCATAAATGCGGCCGTTGGATGTGAAATAGGTCGTTCTTATTGTTAGGTTGATTAATCTGGTTAGAGACTCTCTACGCATTCGATCCGTCGCCAGGATACCATCTTTTTCCAAATTATCCAGTAGTGCTGTGACGGCTTTTACTCCTATGAGTTTAGTGTACATAGACTGTACACCAAAGTACACCAAAATTTACTTTCCTTCCAGACTGGGGCCTTTGCTTTTTTTTTTGCAAAATTCGTATGAATTCTTTAATGTATTCGATAATCTGACATTAATTTTCTTTAATTTGAAACAGATAAATTTCGCCAGTGTATATGTTGGTCCAAGTCTGTTGCTGAGGATCAGTCTCAATTGTTCTCGTTCTTTGTTTACCTTCAGCAAACAGTATGCTACTTTCATATGATTTAATTCATTGTCCATTTGTCAATTTGCCCGTTTCTATTCATTTCCTTCAGTATTTGTTGCAATACCTCTTTGATTTTAACTGTTGGTTCTTTTGTTAGTAGTTGATAAGCTGCGGTTTCCTCCATCATATTTAGCATTTTCTCTGTATATTCCTTCCTGTCCATCACCACTGTGGCACCTCCTTTGTCAGTTCTTAGGACTATTTGATCGTTTCTTCCCAATTTCTCTACATTTCTTGGTTATATCGTCCCTATCCGTGGGTTCTTGATGCGCCAAGATTGTTGGGATTATTTCATTTCCAGCTATTTATGTAGTTTCTCACAGATATTTATAACTTGCAATAAAATGTCCTTGATTGCTTTCCTTTCATTCCGAGGTGCAGAATTTAGTTCCTTCTTGAGGAGCTTTAAAGGTTTCCAGGTCACAAGTGACGGAATTCAGATTCATCGCTTTATCCTTATTTCTTGTCTGGACTGTGAGATCCGTCAGCCTAGAGGCATTTCCAGATGGTTGGACTTTCGGTTGCCAATAGATTCCATATTTATTCTGCTTCTTCTGGTGCCTTTTTTAATTAAATCCGATATCCTTTACGTCATTTCGTCTGTCATATTCTGTAGTTTCAGGAAATCCTCCAGGGTGAGAATCTGACTCAAATCATGTCTGAGTCTAGATTTATTATCTAAATACTTAGATAGTTTTCCTCTCTCTATCTCTCTCTTTATTATATGTATCCTCTAATTTTTGCAGAGAATCTAGATTTACTATAACATCACTTTATCCGAGTGATGTTTTCTCATCATATTGCAA